TTAGTTTATATTGTTTATTTTATGTTATAATGCCAGCATTTAATCAGATTTGCGTATTTAGTAGTAGTAATTATTAATAATATTTTTAAATAAAAAAATCTAGAAAAATAATTTACTTATCATTTAGAAACTGATGAGAATAGGTCAAAGAGGGAGAAAATATTAGTTATTAAAAAAAAGAAAGACAAAGGCCATGATTCACGTTTTACAAAGAAAGGAAATATAGATTCAGTGACAAATAACAGACATCGTAGAATACATTTGCCCTCCGAAAGTAGTGTTGATAACTACAACTATAATCAATAAAAAACAAATATTTTAGATTTTAGAGTACCGAATATTTTGAATTGTAATGATCTGAATATTGAAAAAAAAATTGTTGGTGCTTACTTCCGACTTGCTTAAATACTGACTGGTTTTAATAAATTAACAAAAATATTCAATTAACAATTGAATCTACGTAAAATAGAATCATTGAAATAACTTACATAATAAAATAAATTTAATTCTTTTATTAGAATAAAAAATATACTTGTTTTAATATTTTAACTAACAATTTTATTTATTGTCTGGTAATAAATGAACAATTTTCTTTGACTTCACTTTTAAATATTATTATATAAAATGCTTACAATCTATACTATATAATCTCTGTTTTAAATAGTTTACTACTGTTTCCCAACATCATTTCTGTTGTCCAAACTGCAAACAGGAAACCGGTAAACAAAACCTAATTAGCACTAGAAACTTTAGGTGTGGCTAATTGTACATTACTTATTAATGACTTATTAATGATATCGATAAAGTTATGATTGATAAATGTCTGCGCAAAATTCTACTGTAAACACAGAATTTAAAGCAGAATTTTCAGTATTCAAGAGCGAAGCGCAAACTTTTCGGATGTTGTCGTATATTGGGAATTGGCAGGATGCTACCAACTTCCGGGTAGTAATTGTTTTAGAAGAAACAAAGTTATAAAAATAAACAGTATATTTTATTTTGGATTACTTATCCAAAATCCAATTAAAATTGGTTCGAAGTATTAAATATATTTTTCTAAAAATCTTCCAAAACTTTCTGATGCGGTTTATCAATGCGTCTTATGGTCTGAAAAATATTATATTTCAATTAACTAAAATGTAAAGAAAACGTTATTCACTACTACTCATATTTAAGATCGACTATTATTTTCAAATATTCGAAAAAAAAAAGAAAAATCAAGTGGAACTTACAGTTAATAATGAAAAAGTTCATTTAATGAAAGAAGAATCTAAAAGTTTAAAAATTGATTTGAAAATAGACGTGACGAAAAATATTAAACCTCAAGAGGATGTTAAAGAAGAACACAAAGTTGATACCTCTGAAGGATATTCCATAGATTCCACGAAAAGAAGGCTATATGAAAGATTGGGATTGATTACAAGAGCAAACTACAAAGAAGTGATGGATATGAAGCAGAAACAAATGTATGCATTGAATAACCGAGAAGTAAATTCACTGGAAGACCAACCCAACAGTTAAAAATTCGACTTAAATATAGATGTGATGGAAAATAGCGGACTACAACCAGAAGAGATATATATATGTGCAAGCAAAGATGAAGACAATTACAAAGATTCCACGGAAATAACATTATCTGATAGTTTGGAGGAAAACTATGGAAAACATGTAGAAACGAAGGAAACACAAATGTACAACCATCAAAACAAAGAGGAACAGTGCAGTTTGAAAATCGATTTGAAGGTAGATGTCATTAAAAATAGCGAACCTCAACAAAAAGACAAAGTAAATGGTTTATCTGAAGATTATTGTGGAGAATTCACAAAGATAATTTGTATGAGTTTAGGATTGATTGACTATTTTTAATATCTAAACTGATATATGCTCCATTTATGTACTATAAATGTTCAAAAGCAATGAAAAACATTTTTCTAAAATATGATTATTATATTGAAAACTATTGCAATTAAATTATGGTTAGTTTTTTATAATGTTCAAAATGAAGAAAACTCGTTATTTGAATTACGTGAATTTAGTTTATATTATTTATTTTATGTTATAATGCCAGCATTCAACCAGATTTGCGTATTTCATTTTTTTAATTATTAATAATATTTTTAAATAAAAAATTTAGAAAAATAATTTACTTATCATTTAGAAACTGCTGAGTATATGGTAATATTAGGTATTAGAAAAAGAACGAGAAAGACGATGACCAGGAAATACTCATTCAGCAAAAAATAACGTTTGATAGTCAAACCGATAATTTAAAAAATAGGTAATATAGCGAAAATTAACAATATATACATTTTAAAGATAATTACAGTTACAATCAAAGATAATAATTTTATTTTAGATTTTAAATTACCGACTAAAATTCAGAGCTATTTGAAGATATATATTTTGATTTGTAATGATCTGAAAATTGAAAAAAAAATTGTTTATGCTTGCTTCCGAATTGCTGAAAATATTATGTTACATATTGACTCGTTTTAATAAATTTAAACTAACATTGAATATTATTTTTGATAGGTTGTTATGAATCAGGAATACGTAACTTTGGTTGTAATATATATGTAAAAGATTTCTGTGAATACAACTTACAAGCAAATGCGACTTTACACAATGGACAAAACGTTTTAAATATACCAATTAACAAACATATTCAATTAACAATCGAAACTATGTAAAATAGAATTATTAAAATAACTCTTTGTATCTATGTCTACAGTATAGTTTATTTTTTTAATATTTGTTCCAATATTTTAACATTTTCGTGTACTATGTAAAATAACATATGTTTTAATTTATTTACTACTGTTTCCGAACATAATTTCTGTTCCCAATCAGGCAAAGTGTAAACCGGAAAACGTTTAACCGCTTTTACCAGCCCATAATTACCGAAGTTACCAATAAATTTTGGCAAAAAATAGTGGTAGTTTCGTAAAAGAGGAGAAACTTTTTTTCATTTAAATTTGATAACTATCCTTAATAATAATATTGATTATTGAGGTTATCCATAAATTTATGTTTGATGTTAATTTGAGTTGAGTAAGCCATAAGTAGATTTTATTTTAACCACGTATCATTAACTATTTTTTTTTATTTTTTATTTATATAAGAATAGTGCAATTCAGTAGTTCCCAACGAAAACATCCAACAGTTTATTAAATTAAAATATGTAAAATTTAAGATGTTAGATGTCAAATTCAGTTTGTCACTTAACCGTCATGACATTTATAAAATGTTTAATTTAGACCGAAAAAACTGCGTTCAAAAGCCTTTTGTATGTTTTTACAAAAAACATATTTATTGTTTGTTTTAATGATGTGATAATGTTAAATAATCCCAAATAAAATATCCCGTTCATCGTCATTATTTACTGCTCTTCTTTCGAAACTGTGCAATTGATCACATTTAATCAATAACAATAACATATATATCAATAACTGCATTAAATATACGGTTATGCAAAAATGGAATACATTTTAAATAGATGTGAAAAATAAATAAATGGGATACAAAAATATTAATATAAATATTTTTTATAGGATTTTATAACTTTATTTCTAATTACTATATACAAATATTTATTTTATTTAATGATGGTAGGCATTGTATACCGGAGCGGCAACAACAGTTTTAGTTGGGATGAAAGCATTGGCTACAACAGTTTTCTGCACAATTGGTTCTCCTTGTATTCAACTTCGGCGTTGAATCTGTTGTGGGAGTCAGCAGAGTAGTGGATGGTGACACTGTCAGGTTAGACTAAGTTAGAGTATCCTTTTACAACATCACCGTCGCATTCTTTGTGTTGGTTCTTGACGTCTCCGGTGTGAACATTTTGTACTCCGTATTGGTAAGAGTATTGTGGGTGGGTATATGGGTATACTTCTTTGTGGACAGCCTTGACGATTGGGTAGCGTATTGAGCTACTGGAGCGACGGTCTTGATAATAGCCGGGGGTGGTGGTAAGCGGCAACTGAAAGAGCGTAGTGAGAAAGTGGAGCTACAGCATATTGGTAAGAAGCTACCTTTGCGCCATAATGAGCGACTGGAGCAACGCTAGAGTAAGATGTAGGTTTATAATCTCCAAGATCATAAACTCCAGCTTGAGCATAAGCTACAAGAGCGGAAATGGTGAATATCTGCAAATAATAATAATATTTCGTATAAATACGTCTTGTATTGAACTTTTACTATATTCACTTTAGTGAACATATTGCTTGATGAAATGATGATTGGATAATAACATTAATAGTCTTACATCCTTTTCTATACCACATTCCACCTCTCAGAATAAAAACTTGAACCAAAAATGTTATAATTTCCTTGTAGCAATATTATTACTTAACACATCGCGGACCCAACATAAATTAATCGGCACACTTTTACGCATTCTCATAACAATTTCGTTATATTTTCTAACCGTGAACTTGAAACTGGAATAACGTCGCACAAGCAAACATTCTTCTTACATAATGTAACGAGTTTTTAAGAGAATTAGTATTACGAATCTATTGGTTTAAATTGAAATTTTTGCTCACTTTCAAATTACGATAATTTATTGGTATAATAACAGCGATACATATATTTAAAATCGAACGCAATATGTTGTACATTATTGGTGTGTGTGTGTGTTTTTATAATATCCAGTTTCCAAATTTCGATGCTGTCACAGATTTGTAATGTTCCGCGATTGTGAAAATGAAAGCAAATTTTTATGTGATGTCATGTGGAATTCGTACGAACTGAGAATGGGTGTTTATCAAAAAACAATCTGTATAAATAGGCCATTCCAAATGTTTGTTCAAACGTTGTTATATAATATAAGAACTATTTTTTTTATAATTTAAAATTGTGATATTATTATGCATTTGCTAGATTATTACTTTACTTTGTTGTGTGCTTACATTTAAATGGAATTATTGATGATATCAGACAATAATTTATGTTTCATTAATATATAAACGAATAAGTGTATTATTAAAATTAAATCTAACTAAATTTTATTTTATTAAAATAATTCGTGAAGTAATGAAAGGGACTTAAATATCATTTTATAATTAAAAATATTAAAATGTTGTTGCACATAAATAGTTTTTAGATAATTTTTATATATTTTTTCATCTGTTCATCAATCTGAACATTGAGTAAATTTACCCACAGTCGGCCCATAATTTTATATAGTAACAAGCTTTTTTTCTTAATTAGCTTTTGATTAAAACAAGGCTGATGATCATTAATGATTTTAGCAGGATAATGCAAAAACCTAAATGTGACAAAATTACAATCATTTGTCCAATGTGGACTTAATTAATTTGTAAGTATGAACGGTTACACATTGTTAGTAATTCTCCTATTTGCTTTTTAATATAATTGATACGAAAGTAAATTAAATGTATCATTAAACTTTAACATAAATGAAATTTAGATACAGTGCAGGCCTAACGAATAGGTATAGAGATCGTAGAGAGCAGCAACTGGGGCAGAAGCGTAGTGAGCTACTGGAGCACCGCTCAGGGAGGAGTAGGAAGTGGCATGGTGACCATGTCCAAGTCAAATTTCCACTCAAAATTTGGTTAGCCAGTAATATGTGTCGAACTCATATGAAACAAAAACTAACTTTTTTTCACATTAGCTATATTATTTAATAAAGCTAACATTTACCAATAATTACAAACATACAAAGCGATCGAATAATCCATTTCCATTCTTGATAGTCTATATGTATAAGATATTAACATTTATATTTTTAGTTATTGTTGATGCTTCATTGCTTCATTCTTTTCAATATCCTAGTGACAAGTTTAGCGACTGAGCTACGTTTATTTTATATTTTACTATTAGTATTTCTTGAATGTGTTTCGTGCTTTATGTCTTCCGCTCGCCTAATATTTCATAATCAGTTAACTATTATTCGTCAAGTTGTTTTCACACATAACCTCTTGAGTTTGGTGATTGTATGCGATGTTAATGTGTACCTTTAATTGTTTTATCTTTAAAATACTGTCAATATAATTATCTTATAATTTAATATCATTTTATATTGGATTAATATTTTGTAACAAAATTTCTATTGGGAAATTATTCCATCAATGTAAATATGTTATAAGTATTTACCACAATGTGGCAGATTATAAAGAAAAAAAATGTATGTTGTTATTCAATAAATTTTGTTTATTTTTTAATCAAACAAATTAAAACCGATATAAAATCTGATAGATCAGGAAAAACTAAATCATGCTTGATGTTGCTATGTTCAATAAATTGTATTGGATAAACACATATTGGAGCTAAACAATAAATAGTTACTGGAGTAACAAGTCTTAAAAAGTATTAAAATCATCGCATCGTTATTAAGTCCACGCGATTCTTATTAAATATAACAAGTTAAATATTACGAATACATTGTTTAATTTTCGAATGATTTACCGCTCTAATTTTAACAAAAATAATAAATTACATTTTAATATCTATCACTTCGTTATTTTATAGAAAACAGATAATTAGTTATATTATGTAAATAGAAGTTCATAGTCGACAAGACAAGACAAGACATTTTAATAATTTCAAAAGGTCTAGGTTTCTAATCTACCAATAAATTGTTTTTTCCTCTCAGAGAAAAGCAAGAGAAATTGAGATAAATACAAGACGAAAATAATATATTATGATTTTCATTAAATCATTTCTTCCAATAATATCAACGTGTATTTTACATTTTCATATAAATTGACTTTAAATATGGAAAAGCACTATTTTTATTATTTTGTGTTTTATACGTGTGATAGATAATATATACAATATTTTCTATAAATAGCATCATACTATTGATACAATATTATTTGTGATGATGTTTACATTTTCAAATAAATACATAAATATTGTGGGAACTAATTAAATTGCAGGGCGGAAAGTATTATGGTCAATAGCCCTTTGTAACACTTGATTCTTTGCGATTCCACTATTTCTTTTTTTGTATTTCTGCTGCTATCCTTAACACTGTATTTGTCCATCGACTTGGCTGGAGGTCCATTACTGAACCACATTCATGTGACTGTCCATTCATTATGAACGATGGTCCTATTACTGCAAGCTCCGAGAGAGCTCAAAAGGGGCTTGGCATAGCCGGAATAGAACCAGCCCACACTGGATGGTGAGTAAGGCGACTTAACGATGAGCTATACGTCGCCCAATTTGATTTTATGAATATATTTTAATTTTCAAGTGTTTATATCTTGAGATTGTTACAATAAATATTAAAATTAATTATAATAATAGCATTTTATTAAAGATATAGATAATTGCGAAATATTGCGGAAAATAATCATATGTTCCTATTTCTGTTCAGGATCTTTTTTTCTGCTTAATATTTGGGAAATGGTTCTTTGATCTACGATAAAAATTGCTCTGACCATACTGCGAATGATAGAAATTAGAAGACTTTCATTTATAAAATTTAATTTTATACTTTAATAAATAAATGCAATAATATCATTTTTAATGGTGGTAGGCTTTGTATACTGGAGCAGCAGCAACGATGGTCTTGGCTACTATGGCTTTTTGTACGATAGGTTCTCCTTTGTATTCGACTTCAGCGTTGAAACCGTTTTGGGCATCGGCGGTGTAGTGGACGGTACGGGTGACACCATCAGGTTGGACCAAGGTGTAGTATCCCTTGACAACATAGTCCAAGACGCTGTAACCGGTGATGTCAAGAACCAACACGAAGAACGTGATGGAG